AGGAACTAAGGGACACTTGCTTTTGTCCCTGAGACACCAGCATAGCCAGAGGACTCAGACTGCTAGGCTCTGCTCCTGAGCTGCCTGTGGAGCCTGAATGACCAGCCCTAGCTGTGATGCTGGGGGTGCTTTCTTGCCTGCTTGTACTTCCTCATGTTATCTTACCCCGTCTCATGTTAACATGTCTCTCTGGTCCTTAAAAACTGTACTTTCACCCTGGCTGGCATGGCTCAGTGGTAGGAACATTGGCCTGTGCACCAAAAGGTCATGGGTTTGATTCCTGTCAAGGGCACTTACCTGGGTTGCAGGTTCCATCCTGGACCACATGGGGGAGACAACCAATCTATGTGTATCTCACATTCATGTTTCTCTCCTCTTTCTCTCCCTCTTCTCCTCCCCCTTCCTTTCCATTCTCTCTGAAAATCAATGGAAAAAATATCCTCAGGTGAGGATTACAAAACAAAAAACCCCCACTGTACTTTCATTTATTCAATAAACACTACAATCTGAGTTATATGTTAAATCTCTGAGTAATAGCTGAGACTATACCAATGAGCCAGACAGATCTTCATAGAATTACAGTCTGTGGTGAGAGGGAGAGAGGCTAATCAGATCATAGAGATGTACAGAATGGGACACAATGGGACAAGGACTAGGAAGGAATAGGCTGCTGAGAGGTGGAGTTACTGGGCAAGTGGGGACATCCACGTTACATTATGCATTCAATATGCATTCAGAACTCAATTTAACTGAGAACTAAAAGAGGGGCAATAGTCAGATATGTGATGATTGTGGTTGGGGGAGCAAGTAGTTAAGAGGAAACAGCATGTGTGAAGGCCCTGAGTAGCAAAGAGCCTTGTAGACTTAAGGACATGAAAGGGTGATGGCGAGAGAACAAAAAGCAAAAATAAATAAATAAAAGGTAATAAATAAATAAATAAATAAATAAATAAATAAAAGCAAAGAGAATGGCTCTAGATGAGCTTGCAGAGTTAGCTGAGGCCAAGTTGCATAGGACTGTAATTTATGATAGGATTTTGTCCTCTTTCCTAAGCAATCAAACTGTTGAGAGGTTTTGAGCTGAAAATGCCTTCATTAGGTTTGTTTGCATCCTGGCTGTTGTATGGGAAATGGATTAGAGGAAGAGATAAGAATGGGATTGGAAAGAACAGGGATCAGTAGAGAGTCAGCCACAGTGTTAGTCACTCATGTTGCTAATCTATCTAAATGAGACTGTATCCAGAAGCAAGTATAGATCTGGCCCAGAATTTGTAACCTTGCCTAGGAGAGTTAGCAGTCTCTGCTTTTGAAATGGCCAGTCATCTTCACTCTTTTCTTTAGGAGTTCCCATGTTTTTCATAGATAAACTTTTGGACAGTAGTCACATCAGAGAGATATGAGGTAAACCTTTCACTCTTTCCCAAAGTATTGAAGCCACAGTTATAAAAAGACTTGAACAAATAATGAGAGCTTACTTACTATGTGCCAGGCACTGTAGTAGGCACTAGCAATTTACTCAGTGAATGAGTAAAACCAGAGTCCCTATCTTCACGGAACTTACTGGACTGGAAGCAAATATGAAAATCTTGCAAATGTAATTACAAACTGTGAGATAAGCATGTTTACTTGTCAGCCACTTAAAAAAAAATCTTAAGATAATACTCTTCATGATCCCGGACCCAGGGCTACCTTGTGGGATTGTGCTTTTTGAGTGTTGCACAAAGACGCCTGGCCCGGAGTGTTAACGGGGACTGAAACTCTACTAGAAATCCCCTTGCCAAGCCACACCGTTGTGCAAGGCTACATCTGTGCAGAGCAAGAGTATGTTTTTCTTTGTACCAAGGTGTCAAATAGGTCAGCGCATCTCTTCCTCTGGTATTAGGAGGGAATTCCCTAGACTTCAAATAGAGTGGGAGGCTCTACCTTATAAACGTATCCCTGCCCTGTGCACAGAAATGTATCTGAGGTGAATGTCAGAGGCATGAGCAAGTGTAAGTGTAGGTTTTAAAAAAAAATGCTGCCTCTCAAATAAATCTACCTGAAATCTGGCCTCATCCACCGCATCAGTGCTGTGTGGCACCCTGAAAAACCGAAGTTGGTCACTCACCCTGCTTTTTTTTTTTTTTTCTGTGAGGAGAGCTCTTTCTAGCTAGGAAGCACCCTCTTGGCAGTGAGCAATGCCAGCTTGTGGGATGGGAAGATGCAGGCAAAATGAAGCTATCTTCCTTCTCTTCTAGTGCAGTTATGCTCAGGCTCTCTGTTCCACAGGGTTTCTTAAGTGGACTCCAGAGCTCTCTCGGAGCTGTTTGTGTTCGTGGCTAGCTGTCTAATTATTGACCTTTGTGTCGATACAGAGGCAGGGTCTTCTATGGTGCTTCTTGGTGATGTCACTCTAGTTGTCATTATTACTGTTATTTTTGGAACTCTATCAAGTGACATCAGGATGGGGCACAGTGTATGTACACCAATATTTATCAGTTGGATGAACAAGTGACTAGGTGGATGGATAGATGAAGAACACATTTAATATACTTTTTTAAAGTTCTAAAAGAAGAGGATGCAAAGGCATAGCTGGCAGGATTAGTGGACATTAGATTCCAAGAGTATAAAATGAATTTCAGGTATGGCCTACAGAGTCTGTGCTAAGTAAAGGTTGCTTAGTTAGGCAAGAGCAGAAACTTCAATGTAAGGATCATTTAAAAAAGTGTTACCACTCTTGAATTGTGGGCTGGCCGCGCTGGTATCCTTCCAGCTGGTAAACATGAAATACTGCTGTGTGGCTTCTGATGGAATTTACCATGGTCTGATGAGAAATAACTCACATGCATGAAGCTGAAGGGGGAAAAAGCTGAGATTACGCACTGCTGGCCAAGTATAACAGACAGTGAGATCAGCATGGTCACCGCAGGCCAAACCACCAACTCCCTGCTCTTGGTAAGCACTGCCTGGGGCATTATAATCTTCTATGGGTGGATTGCTTTATTGTGAAAGAGGCTGCTCAGGGCTTCTCTGTGTTTTTACTTCCACCTAGAACTCTCCATTGAATACTTTATTACTCAGTGCTGCCCAGGGCTACACTTTCCCTGTGAGATATGTTCCAAGAATGGGATGCTTCTCCTTTGGAAAAGCGGTATTCATGTAGGAACACAGCAGGTTATTTCCCTTTTGATCTCCTTCCATGGAGATTTGTGAAGGCTCACGGCCTTTGTCTCAACCTGAGCTGCTGAGTGGAGCAGACTCTCAGCCATTTTTGTGCCTGTGCCTATGACTGTTCCTTTTCCAGTCACCTAATCGTGCCTTCAGACAGACCTTTGGCAAGTGGACTTTGGAGTGCGATGAACTTTATGTAGCTTTTTCTCACCTGCTCTAAGGCTCCTTCGATGTTTCTTTGGCAAGAGGTAAAGACAAACATCTGAAGAAGCACAGAAAGCGCTTCGGGTGATGCCAGGACCTGAGTCTTCCATGCTGGCGCTGTTTGTTCAGCTGGGCCGGCCCACCTGTAGGCTGCCCCACAGCAGAGATGTTGTCATTAGAGACAAGCACAGACTCCATCGCCACAGGAAGATTTAGAGCCACTGTAATTTGGAATGCATAGATCTCAGTTCCCAAACACACTGAAATCTGTTTTTCTGTCATTTCTATTTTGAGCTCCCATTCTACTGGGATCCTGGCAGAAAACCAATCTCAGTCAATATGGCATTACATCTGAGTTCCGGGGAACACACAGCACTAAGGAATTGGGTGCAGGGGTCGGGGGTGCAGTCCTCGCTGTTACCTGGCTACTCGGGTGCCCTTCACTCATGATCTTCATCAGGAAGGGAATCTCCTCAAGGCTGCCTCAGGTCTCATCTGCCTGGACTCCCATCCCTGCCTGGAAGCCACATCCTCCAAGGAAATCATTCCCAGGGCTTTTGGCTGGGGAGCTGGACACAGGACCCTCTCTCTAGGCCCTCAGACAGCCACAACCCTTTCACTATCCTTTCCAGACCCAGGGGACTCTATTGTAGGTGGGGAGTTATAAGCAGGAGTACTTGCTAGAGCTGCTGTAACAAACTACCACAAACTGGGTGGCTTCAACCACAGCAATTTATTTTCTTACAGTTCTGGAGGCTAGAAGTCTGAGATGGAGGTGTCATCAGGGTTGGTTCCTGCTGACAGCTCTGAGGGCTCTGAGGGCGAATCTTCCACGTCTCTCTTCCCTAGTTTCTGGTGATTTGCTGGCAATCTTTGGCTTGTAGGAGAGGTATTGTCAAACCAGTCTTAAAAATTCCCTTTGAAAGGTCTATGTAATTCCAGCCCCTGTGTGGGTTGGAATGTGTGGGTTTTATCATTTATCATTTCCTTCTTGATCTTTGAGATCAATCTCTGATTCGATCTCTGCCTGTGTCTCCACATGGCAATCTCTCTACACGCATGTCTATCCCCCAAATTTCTATAAGGACACCAGTCACATTGGATTAGGGGCTCACTCTACTCCAGCATGACTTCATTTTAACTAGTTACCTCTGCAATAATTCTACTTCCAAGTAAGTTCACATTCTGAGGCATAAGAGATTAGGACTTCAACATATGAATTGAAAGGTATATATGCAACCCATAGCAAAAGGCATGGAATTCCTTCTCCCCCTATTCCTGCTTCTCCTCAGGATCTTTATCCAAACATTTTGGTTATTCCCTTAGGATATCATTCCTTTAAGGGTTTTAGGCTCTTGGAAACCAAGGTAAGTACCATCCTTTTATTTTGCTTTCACCCAAGGTGCTGCACAAACAACAGCTTAGTCATGTGAATCCAAGCAAAAGCAAGAGAAAGGCAAATCAATAAACCAGTCAGTATCTCACAGATGCTATCCTGACACATAAGTGACCATTCCTTTTCCTGGAGCACTGCAGAAGGGCTAGTGGGGGCAGATTTGGGGATTTGGGATTCCAGCCGTGTCCTCTTTGGAGATGAGAGGTGACAATCAGTTGTTCCCTTATCAAGTAAGAAGAGAGGGACAAACTTTAAAAAAAAAACACATTTATTTAAAATTTTACATAAGCTTTGAATAATTCAAAATTAGCTTAGGCATTTTTCAGAAGATGCCTCAACTCCAAATCATGTCAACAGCTATTTGATTGGTGAAAGGATTAGAGGACCTCATGATTACTGTGGGAGACAGAACCCCTTAGAGACAGGGGAGTTCCAATTTTTAAATTATCTGTAGCACATATTAAACATCTCACCAAATCAACAGTGTGTGCATTTTACCAGAGTTTCTATGTAGAGCACAGAATCACACTTAAATTAATTTGATCCCTTATATTAATAATAACTAAAAGCTAGCATCTACCCAGTGTAGTCTCAGTGTCCACGCCAACATCTATCTCCTGAGGATGGAATGACACGTTCCTCTGCACTCAGTGTTCATGATTCAAAGGTTGCAATGAGTGAGTCAAATAAGAAAAGCAAGCCAGGAATTTATGGGTCCCGGGAGGCAGGTAAAACTAGTTCCACAGAAATTAGTGGCCCAAGTGCTCCTCCCGCCCATTCCCAAGCAGAATCAGGCCTGGGCTGGGCTGCAGGCAGGGAGGAGTAGGGGCATGTTCTGCCCCCTCCACTGCCTCGGATAGTCTCCTGATTGTTCGTTCCAAACAGGGTAGTTGTTGTTCCCCAATAGGTCAGTTAATTCCCTAAGTACAGGACCCGATCTCTGGCCTCCTTCAAAGCAGGGTGCTGCCCAGGTGTGAGCACAGAGCAGGTCCTTAGTAAGGGAAGGAAGGAAACTGCCATGTACTGAGCACCTATTAGGTGCCAGGAACAGAGTCAGGGCAGGCGTTTCATGTGACCCTCACAACAGCACTGTGAAATAGGTTCATCACGCCCATTTTACAGATGTGAAAACAGAGGCTCAGACAGGAAAACTTGCCCAGGGTGGCATGGCTAGTAAATAGAAGACTGCCCCTGACCACTTGCTAGAGAGGCAGCAGGGGAGGCCATTTGATCACCTTGTGAAAATCAGTTATGGTCTCTAAGGTTCTGACCTCAGAGAGCAACTTTAAGTTCTCGGGAACCATATCCCCACTCCCTGAGAGACCTTTCACAGAAAGCCCATGAAGGTCAAAGACATCGAGGTCAGGATACTTTTAAAGGAGAAAATGCTTAGAAGTATTCTGGGAGGGGGAGGGCCACTTTAAAGGGAAAAAAACAAGATGACAGATAGAGGGAGGTTTGGGGTGAGCATTAAAAAGGAAGAGGTGGATACAGTGTACAATACAAACCCAGCTAGTAGGATAGGCTCAGGGCAGGCCAAGCTGAGCCTAGAGAAATAAGGGTTTTGGCAATGTTCTTGTATCTTCCATGGGGCTGCACTTGTTGCCTCACACATGGATTGGGATTTCCCTCAAAAAAAATTTGAGCCTGAAAGTTCAGGCAGACCCTAGAGAATAAATATGGGTAATAAAGGCTGAAAGGAAAACATAACTTGACATGTTTCCCTTCTTTCTCTAAAACCCATTCCTTGGCCCCCGCTCTGTGAAGCCCTCTATGACCCACAGACACAGTGTGTGCTCCTCCTCCTCAGGGTACACAGACAGACAGACAAACAGCAAGCCCACCTCTCTACAGGCCCCCAGGGCACTGAGCTCACTGCATCCTACTTGTCTGTCTTTCCTACTGAACTGTGAGCAACTTGAGGATGGAGACATTTCTGTAGCTCCATCTCCATATGGAAAGAGATGTGGGTTCATCAAGACCCTTTGCACATAGGCACCCAGGCCGAGGGACCAGCCAAACAGCCTGAATGATAGGACACTGTCTCTCCCAAGGGCATGGACCTTAGGAGCAACTTCCTTCTGGAGGAACCGAGCATGTTTCCTACACCCTATAGCACTTACTTGCCCCCCCCCCCCAACTCCCTTCCCCAGAGCTACCCTATAGACATCATCATAATTAGTGAGAATTTCTTTCAAACATGAAATCAATGTCTAAGTGCAGATTTCAAGCAACATAGAGTGCTGATTTGTGAGAATAACATCATTCAGGTGGAGAAAACAGCCCCCAGCTTGGGCAACGCTGGTAGGAAAGGTAGGTCTTACATTTACCCTTGTGAAAGGAGGGGAAGACTCTGTCTGGAAAGAGTGCTAGGTGTGTGTGCAGGGGGTTTTGGGCTCACACACCTCTATGGCTATAGGGCAGGCTGGGCCTGGTTCCTCGCCCTTGGTTTCCTGAAGCCCCAGGGCCCTTGCTGATGGAAGGCCTAGAGTGCAAGGAGCAGGCAGGGGCTGTTCGGGAACATGGTCTTCCCAGGCCCAGGGTGGCCAAGAGACGGGCTATAAAATGCCCAATGGAGAAGGGTGAGGGCACCTGGCCAAGGAGCCCATGCTCAGCAGTGAATGCTCCGGAAGCCAGGCAGTGTGGCTTTTCCAAGCAGGTAAATGTCCTCGTCCACGCCCTGGTTGAGGTACTTCACCATATTCTTCTCAAAGAGGAGCGGGTGGTAGGCACCCATGGTGCAGGCGCTGTCGAAGAACTTCTGGTAGTAGTGGCACACGTCAGTCTTGCGCTTGGATGGCAGGAACTCGTAAATATCCACCTGGTCACACAGCGTCATCATGATGATGATGCCTACAGGGGGGAGCAAGAGGTTAAGTCCTGCCCGACAACCCACCCTGCTCCTCGGAGCTCTGCCCAGTGAGTCCACAGCTCATGACCCCAAATTTGGGGAGACATCTATCTGGATTTCCCAGTTATTCTTATGATTCCCAACATGAGTCCTTCTGGTAAGCCAATCTAGCAGGCTGTTCCTTGCAGGTCACTGAGCCTGATTCACGTTTGTATCCCTAGCACATAGGCCAGAACCCGGTGCATGGCAGGTCCTCCCTAAACACCAGCGGATTGATGGACTGCATCCATCATCAATGCATTTATCTATGTAAATGAGCTATGTGAAGAGAGAGGACAAGGTGACTGAGAAGACAGTACCACCACAGGGACATAATACTTTCTAGCATTTTTATATCCCGAAGGAACCTCTTAGATGGTGCTATTTGGGAGAAGGTGTTTCTTATGGTACTTGCAGGAAACAGTGTGAAGAGGGAAGACTTTTCTCCCTCAGCTGGGAGGAGGGACATATGGAAGTTGGAGCACCCCATGGTCTGTGTTGATGGGCTCTGCTCATTCATGTAAAGATTGGAGCCGAGGAGGTGGGACCACGTTGGTGCTCTCAGGGAAGCGGTGCAGACACTGAGATGCTGCTACCACCCACACCTGTCCCCACCTGAATCATTCATCTCGTGCAGGACATGTCCTTCAGGTTCTTCATCTGCCTCAACAGGGTTATCTACCTACCTCCTACCACACAGGTTATTATTGTTAGGATGCAATAAGATCATGGCTCTAAGACCCCTTTTGTCAACATAAATATAGGGAAACTTTATGATGGAACAGTTCCCACTAACAGCAAAACTATAAACTGCTAGCAGCAACTTTGTTCCAAAAGAATCAGATATGGGGAAAACCCTCTCTTTGCCTCTGGCTGCCCCTGGTCCAATGGGGGAGAAAAGATACATCTGCAACTAAGGGATGTAGGCACAGCAGGAGTGCTAGAAATTATGAGATAGAGCACCTCCTATGAGAGAGGGCTCAAGTAAACCCCCCAGAGCACTGGTGTGGGGGATGGCAGGGGCTATGGCCATGAGGGATGGGCAAGAGGGGAGGATTGGTGGTGGAGGGAACAGCATGGGAAAAGGCAGGGCAGTAGAGAAATATGTTCCCCATAATGCTTCCCCAACTATTCCTGCTCAAAGGGCTCCAAGATGAGCCCCAAATGCACCCATTCAAAAGTTGAAGAGAAAGATATGAAGATGTGAAATTGGAAGAGCCCCCATCTATTTCTATAAGGAGTACCTCTCATATTAAACACTTATTTGTTCATTTACTCAGGGAACATTTTCCACAGGGCTGTCCTGTGCCAGACTCACAAAAGATGAGTCAACCATAGTCCCCACCCTGAGGGAGTTTGCAATCTAACAGGGGAGGTCACAGTCCCCGCCCTTGAGGGAGTTTGCAGTTTTATAGGGGAAATGGAAAGGCAAATGAAACAGTGGTGAATGGTTGGGGCCGTTGGTGGAAAGTAGCCCGCTCAAGGGCCCAGAGGAGGAAGCTTCCCTTCCCCTACAAATACCAAGCCTAGAACCTTGTGGAAATTTCCCATGGTCCAGCTAAACTAAAAGTGAAAGGGAGGTAAGGCAGACATTCCCTGAAGGCCAAGAGAACTGAAGAAAGTCCCAGAAGAAAGTCTATAGCCAGCATTCAGAACCCCTCTCTACTCTGACCCCCCAGCCCACTCCACATCAGCTCCCACAGCTCCGTTCATGGCTCCCAAACGCAGTCAAACTTCTCTGCTCATTCTCTCAGGGCCACAACTAGGGTGTTCACTAGCATGAACAATTTTTTAAATTCTAAATAAAGTATTATTGATTCTTCCTTTATCCCCAGATTTCAATATGGCTCAGCATATTATTATTCATCCTGTCTTTATTTAAAATTTTGATGTCTCATTCATCATACAATTTTGCATTGTGATTCTTAAAAAATATTGTGTTAAGATAGTATCTTGTTCCTGAATTTTTGGGCACCTGTGTAAGTGGTATGGCTGATGTCAGTGTATCGCTCTCCTCAACAGAGCCCTGCCCTGTTCTCTCTGTGTTACCACCTCCCCTCTTGTCTGTGCTTCACTCCACCTCCACCTGACAAATCTGCCCCTCTCACAGGCCTGATGCAAAGCTACTCCTCCACAAAGCTCTTGGACTGTCCACCTAGATAGTGTCCTCTCTCCTGTGGCACCAGGGTGGTCGCTCCCTCCTCGCACAAATTGAATGTTACCTCAGACACCTGACTGAACTCTCCCACTGAACATCCTAAAGAAAAGGGAGTCTATCTTATTAATCTCTGTAACTTAGCTGGAAACTGGCATAGTGTACAAATCCAGCAAAAACACAGCAATTATTTGGTGAACGAATGAATGAACGAACGAGACCCCAGGAGAAAGCTAATCTCCTCTATAAACAAACACGAGAGGTCTTTCCCAGACATGGACTCACCGAGCATCCCAGAGGACGGGGGATTTGGCTGAATCTCCTCTGGGGAGATTTCTTGAATGATGTCCCACAGCTCCCAGGGCATCTGGGGTCTGAGGATGTAAAAGGGCTGATCAGGATGCAGTTTACGATAGCTCTTGTAGTTATCAAAGAATCTGTAGTCGGGATTCTTGTACCACTGAAAAAGAAGGAAATGATTTGTCTCAAGGGGAGAAGTATGCCAGTGCTACTGCTGCCTCAGGCAGTCGTCCTCATCTGGGGA